TTGGATTCCTTCTTTCGGGTGCAAAAATTCGATTTCAATCAAATTCAAAAAACTTAAATCGAGCTATTTCGATTTTGTTTATGTCGAAACTCGTTTAGTACATGTTTGTATTGTTTAATGTGTTTCCATGTCAATTTGTGTTTAAATTTGTATCTTATTTATACCCGGATTGATTTATTAGCTTTGGTACAAAAAAATGTTAAAATTTGATAAATTATTTGTATTGTTAATGTTATGTTTTTATTTGGTTAAATAAAAAATTAATATTATTTATTTTGTTTGTTGTTCATATTTGTATTTTATGTTAGTTGTTTTTATATGTAATAGTGACCTTTTAGCGTAGTAAAATAAATAGCCTTTTAGCGTAGTAAAATATAGAGCCTTTTAGTGTAGTAAAATATAGAGCCTTTTAGCGTAGTAAAATATAGAACCTTTTAGCGTAGGGTCTATGTAGTTTAAGTATGTAGTAACTGCAAACTCTATCCAATTACACTTTAAAAAATTAATTATATAATTTATAACAATAAACTTACAAAAGTAACAAATTAATATATGTTGTAAAATTAACTCCAATATCGAGCCTGGAACCCATACATAATTATTCAGTCCAATTTTAAACATAATTAATTATTTAATTTATTAAGCTAACAAAATTGTGCAAAACAGCCATATGATGGCTGACAAAGCAACGCGATTGCCCCCAGCGTCACCCTAAGGTCTATAACCAGTAAACTGCCCCATCATATCCAAAAATTGTGCACGCGTCATGGATCTAATGTATTGGGGCAGTGCCACGGCCCGTCCATCTACGCGCAGCCCGTACAAAACCTGAACATCCTCCGGCGTGATGGTGGCCTCTCCAGTGGGCAAGTGAAAAGTGTGCGTCTCCGGTCGCCACCGCTCTACCAAGGCTGTGATGAGAGACCAATCAAGCTGCATCCGTCCAAGCTCAAAAATCGTATAGAAGTCCGTAGCCTGTACGCGCGCGACTACGCGGCATGGAAAGGATGCTCCACGATGAACTCCCACAAATCGTCAGGTCTCCTGGGGCGGAGAGCCTGCATCGATAGCTGTCCCTCCCATACAAAGGAGGACCTATGGTCGCCCTGCAACACTAGTAGCTGATCCTCGGCAGGTCCAGGATGCGCAGGCGGAGGAAAGTCCATGTCGTCTACTATAATTTAAACAAAATTAATTGTGTGTGTTAGTTTAAGGAATTAAATAATTAATTATATTTAATACTGGACTGAATAATTATGTATGGGTTCCGGGCTCGATATTTGAGGCCCGGTAGCACCAAGTTATCCTTAATTATTATGCGTGTCAATTTCAACATTTTTAGAATTTTGTTAGCTTAATAAATTAAATAATTAATTATGTTTAAAATTGGACTGAATAATTATGTATGGGTTCCAGGCTCGATATTTGAGTTAATTTTACAACATATATTAATTTGTTACTTTTGTAAGTTTATTGTTATAAATTAAATAATTAATTTTGTAAAGTGTAATTGGATAGAGTTTGCAGTTACTACATACTTAAACTACATAGACTCTACGCTAAAAGGCTCTACATTTTACTACGCTAAAAGGCTCTATATTTTACAACACTAAAAGGCTCTATATTTTACTACACTAAAAGGCTCTATATTTTACTACGCTAAAAGGCTATTTATTTTACTACGCTAAAAGGTCACTATTACATATAAAAACAACTAACATAAAATACAAATATGAACAACAAACAAAATAAATAATATTAATTTTTTAACAATACAAATAATTTATCAAATTTTAACAATTTTTTGTACCAAAGCTAATAAATCAATCCGGGTATAAATAAGATACAAATTTAAACACAAACATAACACAAATTAACATGGAAACACATTAAACAATACAAATATGCATGTACTATACGAGTTTCGACATAAACAAAATCGAAATACCTCGATTTAAGTTTTTTGAATTTGATTGAAATCGAATTTTTGCACCCGAAAGAAGGAATCCAAAGTTTGTCTTGTGTGTGAGACCTACACTCCTTGCTCTTTAGGTGACGGGTGGGGCCCAAAATTTTCTTTTTTTAACTTTGACGCGGGGAGGGGGGGGACCAGCAGTGCTCGAAATTTTTTTAATGGGGGAGTCTCGGTTCTGTCGTTGTCCAAGGAAGAAGGGGCTTTACTTTATTAAAGCAATTCGCAGTATAAACGCAGTATAGTACTACGAATTGCTTTAATAAAATATAGCTGGGCCCAAATTAATAAGTGAAACGCACTACTGTACTGCGTTTTACCTAGTTATGTAACTTTTTTTTAGCATTAGAAACGTGTTTTTATCCAAAAAGCATCAAAAAAATTTCGGACTCCTTTAACTACAGGCTATGACCAAAAAGTGTAGATTGATTGGGTATTCGGTTTGATAGCTAGCTCATGAGGTAAGAATTGCCCAAGACGATACAAGGAGACCAAAACACCCATTACCCACCAATATGGGACATGACTCAACACCCCCACTCCCCCCACCTCACGCCCAGGCTTGCAAACTGGACTGTGGACAACATAAATGGGGGTCCAACATCGATAATAATAAATTGAGATAGGTCTGGCTCTGATACCATGATAAATGGACTTTGGGCGTAACTTAACCCCAAAAGCTACCTCAAAGGATGTGGATTGCCCAAGCTATATAAAGAATCCAAGGAACCCATTCATCTCTAACGTAGGATTCCATCCCCCCTTCCCCCCGACGCTCAGACCTGTCAATTGGAGCGTGTAACAATCTATCTTGGGGGCCCAATATCAGGGACTCGGCTCTGATACCATGATAAAGAAATGGATCTTGGACCTAACTATACCCGAAAAGCTAGCTAGGTGAGGATTGTCCAAGTCCATGTAATGAAACAAATATGTCTCCCACCCATCGATGTGGGATACTAACACCCCTACACGCCCAGGCTTAGCAACTGGAGCGTGGACAAGATAATATGGGGGCCACATATGGTGAAACGATTATTTGGTGGGCCTGGCTCTTATACCATGCTAAATGGTCCTTGGGCATAACTCAACCCCAAAAGTTAGCTTAATAGGTGAGGATTGCTCAAGGACATATAAGGAGACAAATGGCCTCCCACCCAACCGATGTGGGACACTAACAATGTTTTATATATATATATATATATGAGATTGTTATATATAATGTATGAGAATGTTTTTCTATTACACGAGATGTCTTATATATAAAATATTAGGTGTTTATAAAGAATTTAAGTTTTAATTAGTTTTAGTTCAATAACTTTAACTAATCTATATATATAAATTTATTGTCCATATCTGCACTCCGATCCATACCCCCGAATCAAAATTTATGTGCGGAAGAATTCGACCTCTAGATCAGCATCCATATCGGATACTCGCACGGGGAGTCCGAGAAACATAGTTTGTAACTGCTTTGGAGGGAAGTCAACGTTATCCCAGAAAAAATCCTACTAGGTTACAACATTGCGATGCAAAGACGAACCTTTCCCAAACTAAAGTTGGAGCATGCTTTTGTCCTGGAATACTCTAGCATTGAGCTCAATGCAAACACAGCACACTTTTGGTATGCCGTGCTGAATGAATGATTTAGACCCTAAATTAGATTTCCTCAGTTCCCTACATTTACGATGGAAGACTGAGTTTTTGCAATGATACACATTCAATACCTCCTAGGTGCTGTTTTGATTGATAGAATAAATTACATCATTTAACCCCACCCTCCCAACCCCAAAAAATAGAGGCATGCTGAACTCTTATCCACTACAAGGGCACTACTTACTCCGCAGGCAATATGACCTTACTAGGCTAACAAAAAGTGGTAAAGTACTCTGACAAGTTTCCAGGTGACCAACAGAAAATCAGAAATTCGGTGAAACCTCTTCAGCAGATAAAAGAAATTGTTGACACCTTCAGTGATGAAAATATATTGGCAATTGGAATTCTTACCTCATACAACGGAAGGAAGTTCTCTGAAGTAAGGTCCAATGAACATCCAAAAAGAAACCTCAACATGCTCAAAAGCGACTCCATGTCCCAATGAATAGATATAGAGTCGAAGCAAGATTCACTGGAACAGTTAAACCATAGAATTAAGAGGTAAGGTAATCTCAGAAAAGAAAGCAATTACGTTATAATACTTATTTTAAAAAAAGAAGTAACTACGTTATAATGTTCTTCATCCGCATTATCTCTTGTAACATTCCATATAATGTTCTAAGTATATTCTATATAATTATTATTCCCTCCATTATATTTCATATAACAGTCTTTCCTTTTTAGTACGTTTCAAAAAATTGACATCTTACTATATCTGGCAACTCTTTAATTCTAACACTCACATTTTACCTTTAAAGCACTCTCTTATAAGCATGATATGTCATTCTTACAACCACAAGAATAAAGGTATTTTGGTATGGTATACATATTTAGCTTGTGTCAATAGTCTCTCTTTATTAGTTATACTCCACACATCAAACATTGTCATATAAAATGAAACATAAGGAATAGGAGAATATTTAGTTATCGCTTTAGGAGAAGGAAATAATTGTTTACATATTATACGTACTCTAAAACTTCTATATATGAAGTTATTCTTGTACATTATTATTCACTCAATAGTCAATACAGGAAAATTCATTTAATTCTCTTGTGCTTCACAAGGTGTAAGAACTAAGGGGAGGGAATATCGAAGTTTGAGTTGCTTTCAATCACCAAAAGAGTTTTCTGACAAAAATAGTATGGTGTACGCCCGTCGCTTCAAGATCTTTCATCTGTGTCTCATCCAATCAACCACTACACCTGGAGATTCATCTCGTCGTGATGAACATGATGGTCAAAAAAGGATACTGGTCAAAAGCCATACCATACGATCCCTCATGCTCCAACAGAGTCCATCACTCGCCGGGGCATTCATCTAGTCACCAGCTTTTATTCATGTAATGTTCCATGTTAGCACCACATTAGGTTCAGCCAACGCCATGGTAAACCTAGCCAGCCGCCACATCATTACTCAGTTAGTTCACTCAATAGTCCAGCTAGCCCACGTCAGTAGTACAGTCAATGACATGCCAGCAAGTACAAGAACAAAAAAGGTCCTTTGATTTTTCGACGTGCTGGATCTATTTTTCAGTTGGATTTTGTCAAAATCCACTCCTTAAAGTATATCAGAGACAAGTTATTCCTTCTTTTCTAATCATAAATTATATACCGTCAAATAAAAATAGAAAGCCCCTTCAGGAGATCAGTCAATTGTGGTTTCTAATGACAATTGCAACATATTCCTAAAATTTAAGGCCCCTACATATTTGTCTACCATCTCCCTCACACATAAAGGTAATTCAGCTACATATCTACCTCAATCTTCATCCTTTGGCCGACTTCTTGATTCAAGAGTCTCAGACAATATGACCAGTGTCCATGAGCTTGGTTTGGACGTTTTGATGCTGTAGTTCAACAATTTTGATTAGCCCGTATCTAGTCAGATCATTCCATTTTACATCGACACTCTATGCAGATTTGATGTCTCTACCTTGCCATATATGTGGATGATAAATTATTACTGGAGACGACAGTAAGTATTTAGGTAATAAAATAACATCTCTCACTTACCTCCATACTAAAAATTTGGAATAACGTACGTACTTGTTGGGGATAAAGGTTGGTTAGTCCAATTCATTTGTCTCTCTCTATAGAGGAAATTTGCTCTGGCTATATTGGGCAAAACCGGTATGCCTAACTATCGACCAATCGACTCACCTATACATCCAAAAGTCAAGCAACTTCAAGGCTGAGGAGTCTTAAGATTGGTAAGCTGAATTATCTTAGCACTGTCTAGATATTGCGTTATTGTCAATATTATCAGTCAGTTTTTTCAAGGCACTTGTGATAGTTAATGAGATATAGTGGTACGCTAGATATGGTAGAAATGAGTTCTGAACACCTGGTGCAATTTCTGCGCCTTCACGAATTGGAGTATGGACGCAAATAATCAAGTTGTGGCCTGAATTTCAGAAGTTCATTGCATTGAAAGTTGGTGATGGTAGTAGAATCTGGACAGACGTTTGGTTGGGAGAAGAGAAGCTGATGAATAGATTTCCTACACTGTATAGTTTAATAAGTAACAAAAATTGTACAATAGCAGACTGTTATACAGGGCAGGAGTGGAAATTTAATTTCAGAAGAAACTTCAATGATTGGAAGGTTGATGAAATTTGTCAGCTTTTATATTTTTTGGAACTCGTGATCCTCGATGCAAACAGCATGGATTCCCAAATTTGGATTGATGGTAAGGATGGCAAATTTTCAGTAAAGAGTTGCTATAGACTACTGCAGAAGCAAATAGGTCACCGGGATTTAAATTGGCCATGGAGAATGTTGTGGAGGTCTTTAGCACCTCTTAAAGTTGCTTGTTTTGGATGGATTGTAGCTTGGCGGGCATGTTTAACTCAAGAGATGTTACAGAGAAGAGGAATACCTTTGTGCAGCAGATGTTTTTTTTGTGAAAGTTCCCAAGACTCGTTGGAACATCTTTTTTGCATTGTAGCCAAATACAACAAATTTGGAATCTTTTTCTGAGCATGAGTGGAGTTCATTGGGTGATGCCAAGGAATGTGAAAGACCTACTGCTATGTTGGCAATACCAGAAAGTCAGGAAAGATCTGGAAAAAATTTGGAAGATTATACCCCTCTGCAACTTTTGGACCATTTGGTTGAACGGAATAAGAGATGTTTTGAGAACCAAAGAAATCGCCTAGCTTTTGTAAAGAATAGTTGCCTTCAAAAAATGTCTTTCTGGTGTAAAAGAAATATGGTTGAAAACTTAGATCAGTTTATGGATTTTATAGGTGTTTTGGGAATGTAACTGATGCAGCTATGCTGTAACTTGTAACTTTTTGGGTACCTTCTTGGTACTCCTTTAATGAAACCTTTACCTTATCAAAAAAAAAATATATAGTGGTACACATCCTTTGATATGATTCAAGAGTAATCTAGGACAAGGAATACTCTACAAGATCGAGGAATTAGTAAAATTTTCAGGTTTGCAAATGAATATAGGGTTGGATCTCCATCAGATAACGACCTACATCTTGATACTTTGTTTTGAGTGATAGAAACCTGGTCTCTTGGACAAGTAACAAGCAAAATGTGGCTACTAGATCAAGTGTAGAAGTTGCATATAAAGCTATGGTCCTAACAACACACGAGCTTATGCGGTTAAACCACATATTTGAGTTAATTCAAATGAATTTCAATTTGTCACAATCACGATGTGATAACAACGCATCTAAACCAGTATTCTATAAGAGGACAAAATATATTGAGATTGATTATCACTTTATCCGCGACAAAACACATTCCTCACTCAGTCACCACTATTTACAAATGAATTATGAACCCCGAGGATCACATTTATGTATAGCAAGTTCGGAGCTCATGATCTATACGCTCCAACTTGAGGGGTAGAGTTATTAACCATATTCATATTGTCATGCCCCTTAAAATTCCACAAAAAATTAAGATCAGATTTTGTACTTAATAGTCGAATATTTATTTACCATGTTAGGAATAAGAAATAACTAAAGATGAATTAAAAAAATTATACCTAAAGCTTCCACACAATAGACCGTGAAAATATGACGACTGCTGAACGAGCCTGCAAGTTCAAAAATCAAGTAAAACGAAAAGCAAAAAGGAAACACTTTTTTACAAATGTCGAAGGTTTAAAAAAAGGTAATTTACCTTTGCCGATTAGCTTTAATTTTAATGATTGGGCGATGAGCAAGTGATGATAAGTCCCATTGACTGACTTCAACTGTTGAAATGACAATCTCTTCGTTATCTTCGTGTAGACTGGAGGCGTTGGGGTCGATGCAGTTGAGAATTACAGTCTCGCCGTCGGTTGCATCGACGTTGGACTCCATACCGGAAGTTTGTGTCGCCAGATTTAGGTAGTTCAGCTTCAGTCTTGAGTGGAGTGTAAGAATGAGGAGAATTGGAGGATGTTTGGATAGGCTTATTGGTTTCTGAGCAGTTTTTTAGTTTGTGTATTATTTAATAACGATAAAAAGTGCTTTATTACTTTTAAACATAAAAAGTAGGATAAAAATAAGGCAAAAATCAAAATTTGGGTATAATAACTTATTGATTTTGACTTTTAGCTTAAAAACTACTTTAACTTTTTATAAGCCAATCCAAACACCCTCTAAATTTGAAATCTGAACCTTTAAAATATTATAGTAAATTTCACCCGTGTTTGGTTATAAATTTCTAAATTTATTTTAAAATATTTGATTTTAGTGAAGTTTGATTTGAATATGAAAATTCGTTTGGACATCATTTTTCAAAATATATTTCACTTTTTTCTAAAAAAAAAAATTATGAAACGTGACTTATACTCACAAGTTCTATAAACTATCAAAAATACCCAACAATACGAAACAACAAACTTGCTAATCCTGTATGTGCAAAACCTTTATCAATGCCATTTATTATCATTATCACAAACAATAGTCTTGAACATAAAGTTTGGTACAAAATCATCATTTTTATAATGAATAACATAATACACTACCCTAAAATCATAACCTGATATTTTAATATCAACTGCCAATAACACAATCACTAGCTACCACAATTTGTCAAATTACAATAACATTACAAGATCCATCGGTCCAAAAAAAAGGATAGTAACTAGCTTGTGGATTAGTTGGTCATAATAGATTGTGCGTTTTTTTTTATAAAATACAAAAGTTTGGATACTTTTTGAAATTGTTAAAAAACTCAAATGTAATATCTTTTGCCAAAAATGTAGAGCTAGTTTTGGGATTTGAATATTTTATTTTCAAAATCTACCAAAATATGGATAAAATCTATAAACAAAGAGGTTTTGCCAAAAAAAATTTGGAATACACCTAACAAAATTTATGGCCAAACGGAAGCTTCTTTTTTTGGCTAATAAGTAAATTTCACTTTAATCTCTTAATTTCTTAAATTTAAAAACAATACCTTCTTCAAATGTCAAAAATGACCTTTATTATGATGAAATATTATACTTTTTTTTTCAAAATAATAATTACCTAAAAGTACCTAATAATATTATAAAAATGAGTAAAATTTTATTTAGACTGCCATAATATTTGAGGTAAGGAAATAATACATTACATCTTTAGCCCGAAATAGAAAACACCTTTAAATAAACACTTTAGGTGGTTTTCAAAAAAATCAATATCATGTCACCATATTAATATTCAAAATTATTGTCAATGAGATAGTTCTAAAAATAACTAAAACTATGTATATGTAAGAATGACATGAAAACAAAATAAATTTTGTACATGACTAGTTGTAGCAAAACTTCAATACGAGCAATAATGCAAATAACAAAATGGATTAATACATCTTTAAAATTTGAAGCTCTACACATAAAAAAAACATGAAATTTTTTATAATTAAAAGGAAAAAAATAAAGGAGAAAAAAGATATGTACGGAATTTTAATTTCTATACAGTGCTATTGGTTTAAATAAGAAATATAAGTTATAATTCATACTAATTAAAGGTCATTTTTTACATTTTAAAAGTACATATGATGACCCAATTCATGTTTTGCCTTTAATTTAAAACTAAGGAGATCGTTGTCTATTCACAAGGTGAATTTCCAAAACCCAAAAGGTTAAGACGGTTAAGCGAAATTTACTTACGCCATACGCAGGGGTTATAATTACTCACATTATTAATTCGTCGCATATTTGTTTGATTTTTCTTTTTATTTTTTGTTTTTCGCGTATTATTAGTTTAGGATCAAGAGATCTTCGTAGTTTAGAATGGTTTGTCGATATTATTAGTTTAGAAGGTCATCTAAAATGTGCAGCGAACTCTAGATAAACGTGTTCGTCCCTCGAGTGATTCATTGCTTCCTCGGATTTTTTTTCCTTCGTATATAAGTCAATTACATATTGGCAAATGCCGCTTATAGAGGGATATCTGTCTTTCAGTGACACACATGACACTTACATACACAATTTGATACCAAATTCAGATCATGTTGTTGATTTTGTGGTTAAGATGCAGTAAACGTGAATTCTGTTAAGGAAGCTTTACTTGAAGGCTTGGACCCGTGTTGGCCGAACTACTGTATGTGTGTGTCCACGGTAGGATTGCATAGAGGTGTTCGTAACACGCAGCGGAAGACAATAAAAATCCTAGGAAGATCTTTTCGTGTTTAAAATTTATTTACATGTCAAAGATCGGATCTAAGACGTACCTGGTGAAGAGAGTCTCGTTTCAAAATTTCTTCGATAGTGCGAAGACTCTATGTGTATCCACATCGAGACCGATCTTTGCTATCAACTCTTTGATCAATGAAACTCGTGAACAAATTGAACAAAAAAAAACTTGTACTGAAATCTTTCTCAAAGATTCAGCCTACAAATGAACGGAACAAGGAAAACAATTTCCTTGTCAAAAATATATAACCTCTTGAATATTTGTGCAGCTCATGAACTTCCGTCCCTTTTCTTTTTTTTTCATCATGTGTTTAACGATATGTATATATATATATATATATATATATACATGATTGATAATAGGTGAATTTAACTATATTCAGGCCCTAAATAACCGCCTTCTTGCATAGTTTTAATAATAAAAGTGATAACAAAATGCTCTTATTAGTGTTTTTCATGATTTGCAGGTTATATATGACTAGGAAAGGCTAGGGAGCACTTTTGGAGTCAAAAAAATGAAGAAAGAGAGGCCAACGGTGAAATGTCCCAAGTGAACCACGCAAAAACAGGCTGAAGAATCAGAAAAATGACTCTGCCGCGGTTCCACTGCGACCGCGGCAGAACCGCGGTGAAGGATGCTCGCGGACAGAAGAAGATTCAGAGGAGCTGTTTGGCCGCGGTTCCACCGCGACCGCGGCAGAACCGCGGCAGGCGCGANATGATCTTGCAACACTGTCCCAATAGGACAAGGAAAAGTTTAGAGGCGTTGTTACTTTTCTTCTTTTCAAAGTCAATTCCAAAAATTGGAATTATGGATGGAAAATTCAATCTCATTCTAAATGAGATTTGTAGGCCGACACATCCTTTTAGGAATTACTTATTCCAATTGGACTTTTCAATAATTTTATATTAAAAAAAACATAATCCATTCTCATAGGTAGGCGACGTTCAATGAGTTTTATATTAAAAAATCATAATCCATTCTTATAGGTAGACGACGTATTGGACTTTGAAAATTTTGCTAATCCAATTCAAAATTGGATTAGTATTTTCTTGAATGCATTTTTTATGGACTTTTTCAATTTGTAAGATTTTCCTACTAAAGAAAATACAAATTCCATATCAAATGGGAATGCAAATTGCCGTGCTTTTTAGGAATTTAAAGACTTATTTGAATTTTATAATCAAGTCTTTAATAATATTTATATATATCCCTTATATAAATAAATATTATATATATATATATATATCATATATATTTTAATCAAGAGATGTAATTTAATTTTCTACTCCAAATAGAAAACTTCAATTTGTTCATAATATTTATTATATCCTTTGTGCTAGCAAAGAATATAATAATATTTCTTTTGGACTAGTAACTAAATTTATTTGACTAATTAAATTCATTAATTTAATTATCAAATAATAAGTTAATTAATCATTTAGCAAAGATCAGAACACTCGTAAGTGTGCGACCCCATAGGTTCAATACTAAACCGGTAGTAAATTGATCACATCAATATACTAATCAAGGGTGGCGTCTAGCAACACTCCTTAACGACCGGATAGAATGAAGTATAAAATTTACTCTCAAGAACCAGTGGAAGATTAATGTAGCAATTCCTTCTGTCCTTATAGCTCTGGATCACCCTAGGATATGGTTCAACTGTCAAATCCTAATAGGCGACCAACTATGTGTTCATGTCAAATACAATCGACCATTGAATGACCTAAGAAACTCATTTCTTTTTTTCATTCAATTGCCCTGGCCAAGGTCTTAATTTGGTCGTTTATAATTCATGACAACATGGAGCTTAAACTCATTACCAAGAGTTGATAGATTCCATCTTAATCCATCACTAATTCTACAAGTATTTAATCATGCCCAATATCCTTTCAACTATTGCCCTAGGGCCATAGGTGTCTGGTATCAAAGCACAATAAATAACTTGCCAATTACTATGATGATCTCAGGTCAAAAGAAACTTTTACATTATATTCTTCAAGAAAATATCCTATTGACAGTTTATGATAATTCTAACCATTAGGAATTATCCAATGAGTCGGTTCAATAATCATATCTCTATATGCATCATCTATCTATGTGATTTAGTTAATGAGATCAACTAATCTTTATCCCATAAAGACGATCACATAAATATTGGTCTAACCGGATTACTAATGTCCAAGTTAATAATCCTACGATCAAGAACAAATTTAGATTAAATTGTAAGAGACTTTGCTCTCATTATCATGATCTCTATCACGATGAAAAATCTCAAAATTTAATCAAGGACCTTATCAAATTAATCAAACAATTAATAATAACTATGATAAAAGAATATCAGATGCCATATATTTTTATATCAAATAATGTTCACAAAAATATGTTCAAATCATCAAATATGATATTGGATTTAGGACATATCTACTATATCCCTAACAATCTCCCACTTGCACTATAGCCAATCGCTCTTGCACTTCATTCCCAATTTCCACTTGTGCTTGGCAAACTCTTTTGCGCCAAGAGCTTTAGTGAATGGGTCTGCAGCATTTTCTTTTCCATCAACCTTTTGAATCTCGACATCTCCATGTTCAATGATCTCTCTTATCAAGTGATACCTTCGCAGAACGTGTTTGGACTTTTGGTGCGATCTTGGTTCTTTTGCTTGGGCAATGGCTCCAGTATTGTCACACAACAGTGGAACCGCACCTTCTATTGAAGGAACCACACCAAGTTCAGTTAAGAATTTTTTCATCCATACAGCTTCCTTAGCAGCTTCACTAGCTGCTATATATTCTGCTTCAGTCACTGAATCAGCTACT